GGAAAGAGAGCTGCTTTTTCATTTGCCACTTGCCACGTTTTGCTATTGCAGATTCAGCAACTATAAGTATCACCTTTTACTAAATAACTGGGTACAGTAAGTGAGAATTCTCAAGTTGTGTTGTTTGCTTCAGTCTCCCCATGCAACAAAGTGACTGACACTGCAGTGCCACCTCTGAGTAAATTCAGATGCAACATCACAGCATACACTGCCTCATGCATTCAGCAACGCAACAGGGACCGTCCGGTTAGTCCGCATTTCCATAGCGCCTACCCATAGGTAAGCACCATTGGCATAGCTACATAGAAGGGTAGCAATTCAGCTTACTATAATGTGATTTATCTGTCCGCAACAGGTAAGGTTTTCATGAGATACCATCAGGGAGGGAAGAACAGCATTATTTCTCCCTGCTTTTACAGTCTCTTAAAAATTGATTCTCAGGTCTACGGTACTCAACATAAAACTTTATTTAGCCAGTTATAGCAGCCGACCATTTCAGCTAAAGGTGGTAATTTCACACACAACCTCATTGTCTGGAGAATGTCATAGGCTGCATTAAACCTCAACTGCCTGAGGTTTCCAAGGACAGAACACGATGTCAGCTCCCGGGGAAAGCATCCATGCACCCATGGAAATTTCAGGAGCTGTACAGTCAGGAGACATGACCAGGAACATGACAGCCTCACTGACAGAGCAGATCACTTCTGCTTTACAACACAGGTCTGACTAAGGAAGCAACAGCTGTGGGTGAACCATCTGAAGGTACTTTATTCTGCTCTGCAGCGTTCACTTCTGAAAGAGTTCTTGTCATATCCAAAATTAACAGGTATCTCATTGTCTTCCCTTTTGACCTCCTTTTACCCTTCCAGACGACTAGGAAAGTGTATTCACTGCAGCTTATTCAACAAGCTTTTCTCTCCCAACATGCTATGACAATAAGAATCATGGCTGCAACTAAAGGAGATAAATTTGTGAGGTAGAGCCACACAGGCTGAGAAAATTTAAGAAATAGCTGCAAGCACAGGGAAGAGTTCCACATTTAGAGCTGTATGGGTCTGGAAATAAATGGAATAGTCACTAGTGTAACATTCTGATGGAAGACAGGTAGGCCTTCCTCAGATACTGAAGTACTCTGTGTGCAAACTGCACACCTGATACTGTGCTGCAACTTCTACTTCACTTACCATATCCAGCTGTTCCCACGTCACGTTTTCTTCCAGTGCCAGAGCTCTTTTCACTATATATTTTCTGCAGTTTTCAAATTACCATGGTCTTTGTAGCAAACCCTAATTTTAATGAAGTGTCTGCAGAGTCCTATACCTACAGAGGCATGACCTATGGCAGAAGCCTCTTAAAGTAACAGCTGAAGGTGGTTATTCACAGGCGAAGCTGAGCTGGTCAATTGTCCCCACAAACACCAGATTTACATGTGCAAAACAGTAACTGCCTCGACAGCCAAGTACAGATTGTCTGAGTTTAAACATTTTTCCAGACTTTCCCATGCTCTCTATCTCCCTGCTACTAAAGTCTGCAGGTAATAATTTCTTTCCCCTGTGAAGAAAAGCGGTTGAATCTCTCCTTAATAGAGGGAACAAGGGCACTTGCTTTGAAATGCATTCTTCAGCACGTTACTCATTCAAATAAATCCATAAAAATCATAATGCATTTTTATCAATACTCTGCAGTTTTGATTCTCTTTAAGGGTGTTTTCCCCAAGTTCAACTTGGAAATCCGTCTATTTTTTTATGACAGATAAATGTCACCATCCCTTTACTCACTTCTACATTCAGAAAAACCAAGGAGAAGTCAAAGTCTGGATTTTTAAAGTTTTGCATCCTTTCTAACAGGGAATGAACTAGTCACTAAATAAAAACATTACTGACAGCAACTTGACTGAAGACTACAACACCACTTAACCCATCCAAGTACAACTGCTTGCATTTTTTGATGAGTGATATATTG